TTTGTTATATCAACATTATAAAATTCATTCATTTATGTTAGCTCTACATAAACAAATTATTAACTTAGAATATTTTGTTTGTAGGGAACTGCCCTGGTTTTTGGATTCTGGCAAGTATGCTGCAATTTTTTTCTCAGCTTAATTTTACTTCTTTTAAATGGAAGCTTTTCTTTGTGATCTGATACTTGCCTTTTAAATATAGGTTACTAACAGCACCTTCAGATTGTTATGGAGAAATAGACTGCCAAGCCAGAGGCTCACTAAGTGTGTCCGACACCATCACGATTGGGGGATTTCATTACCTGCCTGTGCTCCTCCTTGCTGTCCTGAGTCTCATGTGACACTGAGGGCAGTCATTACCTATCCTCTTGGATCCTGATTGAAGTCAAGAAAACTTCAAAGCAGTCAGATGTTAGAAAAACCACGCAAACAGCAGAACCAATAGCAAGGACAGAAATAACTAATATTGTGATACAAAAACCCAAAGGGTGAGTATGTCAATGTATTCCTACTTTAATAAGCATGTCTCATCTTACTGTTATGAGGTATTTGATTAATTAAATTTATGCTCCCTAATAATTTACGTATTTGCTTAGAAATGGGGCATAAAAGAAGTCTGATGTTTTAGTGTTTGTTTGTTACTTTACAAGTTGAGGTCCTGTTGTATGTTACTTACTATGTGCTGGGTGCTGGACGCAATAGCTTTAGTCAGAACCTAATGAACATTAGTACCTTTACCACTTCTCAGGCAATACAGATATTTTATAGCATTTTAACTGCACTTTTTAGTCCAGGGTTTTGTGTTTTATTATATATTTTTTATTATAAAAACATTTAAGATCCTCTAAGACATTGCAGTTATTTACAGTCAGTACTCAGAATTTCTGTACTATATTTTGTTGCTACTCATTTCTCTCTGTTTCCTTTCTTCTATCTATTGCTACTCATTTTCCTTCAACTTGAAGAAATACCTTTAGTATTTCATCTAGTACAGGTCTGAGGATAACAAATTGTTCTAGCATTTGGTCTAAAAATGTCTTCAATTCATCTTTCTTTTTGAAGGATTTTTTCTTTACTGTTTATTGACTTATAGGTTGACAGTTATTTTCTTTTTGCTTTGTATTTTTGGTACCGGGGATCGAACTTGGGACCCTGTGCTTGTGAGGCAGGTGGTGGAACCAGTAAGCTAAATCCCTGGCCCTTCTTTTTGCTTTTTAAAGATGCCATTACTTTATTGTTTCTATCCTTTCTGTTGAAAATCATTGGCTCAGCTCTTCTTACCATTCAGGGTAATAGGTCTTTTCCCTCTGGCTCCCTTCTTGATTTTCTCTTTGTATTTTGCTCCTAGCCATTTAGCTATTGACATTTGTAAGCATAATCTTCTTTGTATTTATTCTTGGGGTTCATAGAGCTTTGGATCTGTGGCTTGAGCTTCATCAGTTTTAGAAAAGTCAGCCTTTATCTCTCCAAATATAGTTTCTGTTGCATTCTTTCTTTCTCCCCTTCAGAGAGATTCCCACCTCACATAGTTTTCACTACACTGTCTCATCTGTCTCTTAAGCTTCTTTCTGTTTTCCATCCTTTTGTGTTTCTGGGCTGCAGCCTGAAGACTGCAATGACAGCTTCCTCTTTAGTAATTCTGTATGTCTGTGCTCGACTCTTGTCCCCATGTAGTATTGAGTTTATAATTTCAGTTGTTTTAGTGTCAGAATTTCCAAGTGATTAACCTTTGATTCTTGTTATGTGTTAACATTCTGGTTATCCATTTTATTGAACATTTTTATCCAATTTTAAAAAGTCTTCACCAATTCATAATCAGCATCACTTGTTTTTCTGTTGTTTCTGTCCCCTGAAATGCCTGGTAATTTTTTATTGAGTTTTGGACATTACATATAAAAAGTAATGTAGGCTCTAGAAAATGTTTTCTTGTTCCAGAAAGAATTCACTTTTTTTTTTGACAGGTAGTTGGATGAGGGACAGATCGCTTTAAGCCAATCTGGAATTGGAGAGATTGAGTTTTAGTAAGTTTTAGCCTTTATAAAAGCCTTGTCTATTCTTGCTTCACTATTAGATTTAGGTTGTGGTCCTTCAGGGGTCTCAATTAAAAGTCTGATGTGTTTATGGAGCCTTTTCTCCTCGGCAGGGTCTGCACTCCAACTTTGTCTTTCTGGCTCCATGTTCTTCTTGATGTCTCAGTGTTTCATCCTGCATCAAACTGGGTGAAGGCCTCCAGGGGAAAAGTGGGGCTGAAGCTCAGGTTCATAGTTATCTTTTTCTCTAGAATCTCAGCCAACTGTTGACTTTGGTAGCTCTCCAGTACCTCACACAGATTTACACACAGTAAAATTCCTCCATCTTTTTAGTTGTTCTTAGCAGTATAGCTATTCTGATGTAAACTAAGCAGTCATAAACTAAGCACAGAAATTTCTGATCTGTTGAAGTCAGAATCACCATTACATTCTAATTCTGTAATTGCTATATAATATAAATTTTCCAATTTCAAGACAATAAAGTGTGATACAGAATGGAAGAATGTGCACCTATCTCTAACTAGATATTTGTGAAATGCCCTATTCTCATCAGCCACATATCTAGAAGCCATTTCAGAGTGCCCTGAATGTCTTTTATACTTCTTGTATCACACATACTACATTGTAACCATTTGTTTATTTGTTCATCTTCTCTGCTAGACTGGGAGCTGGATCTCTGCTATATTTACCTTAGTATTCTCAGTACCTACCATAGTGCTTGGCATTTGGAAGGTATCCAACAAACACTGTTTGAATAAACAATTTTTCTGGATAAGGTTATTTATATATATTATAATACTCATTAAATGTAGTAGTTTGAATCCAGAATTTTTTTTCCTTTGACCTTGCCTCACATTTTATCCTATTTAGAGTCTGTGGGTTCTATTCCTTGAATCCACAGGGGAATTTCTGGGTTCCCTGAAAACAGACTAGAAGAAACTAACAAAATATAGGAAGGGAAGACACCACTAAAGTTTACAACTGAATAAATACAGTGTTCAAGGGAACAAGTAAGAAGTGCCATACTCTGATCCTTACTCCAACAAACTTCCTCTTATACTAATACTTCCTTCACTTTTTATTGTCTTAAGACACACATGGAAATATTTGGGTCATACTTGAATCAGGTATATATATATATATATTTTTTGCTATAGCATTAAAATTTAGAGTCATAATTGATCATACTGTGCTCATTCTGTACAAATAGATACCTGACATACTTTGCTTTCATTCCAGATGACTGAAATCTGAATTCCATTAACTGTGTAGTGAGTATATTTTTCCATTTGAAATTAAAGTTGAAGTTATCTAAACTAAGGATGTGTTTTACTGACAGATATCTTATTCTTTTTTAGGCTCATGTCTTCATTCTTATCACTTGGTGTTTCCATTAACTTGAGTCAGTAGAGCTGCTAAGAACAGTTGCATGGACTTCCTTTTACTGATTTTTTTCACATACTCCCCATACTATTCCATGTTTACAGGATGGAAATAAAGACTTCTTTATTCCCTAATATTACCTGGCTCCAGTGTAGTCACTCCTAGTGTTCCCTACCTAACATGCAAAGTGCTATGCAACGTCATTCTCAAGCTTTTCTTCATCTCAGTTTTAGAAATACAAAAATGTATTTATGAATCTCTGGCTTCTGGCAATAGTTTGATCATCAGTAGGTTAATAATGATAAGGTGTGGACAATTCAAAAGTATTAGAACATAACCAGAGCAGGCAGAAACTGAACAAGAGACCATCCTTCAAGATGATATGTGAGATCTATGGGGTTTTGCCCTTCAGTCTTGAGGTAGGTGCCCAAGCAAGAAGGTATTAGAAGACAGAGTTCAATGACAGCAGAACAGTCAGAAAAATAGAGGGAAAATCCAACAAGGAAAAAAATGACTGTATTCAAAAATAAGAAAATGTGATACTCAAGGAGAAAACGGAAAAAATAGAAAAAGACTGCAAGTTAGCCGATAATGACATTAGCACCTACTAAAAGTGTATTCAAGGACGTAAAGGAAAAAATATCCACAATAAATGAACATATGGAAATTTTCAGCTAAGAAACAGAGACTGAAAAAAGAAGTCTGAATGAAAATTCCAGCTCCAAAAAGAACAATAACTGAATTGGAGTATTAACCAGTGCTAAGAAGAGTCAATGAACTAGAAGACAGATTAGTTATCCAACTCAAAGAACAGAAAAAAAAAATTAAAACACACATCTTATATAAAAGTAGAGTGTAATTGAAGTGGAATCTTCTAGCTATTAATTCTGCAATAAGGAAAAGACTCCTGGGTTTTGAATGTCCTTAAAATTTTTCCTCCAAGGATATGAGAGAATGTGTGATTTCAAACCTGTGTGTTTTTTGTTGAGTTTCATAAGGTCATTTCTCTCAGATGGCCATAAGTTTCTTAGCTTTCTGTCCTTTCCTTCTTTTTTCCCTCATTTCTTCCAGTGGCTAGTGGCCTTTCCTTCGGTGTTCTGTCTTTGGGGGCAAGTTTGGAATGACATGAGAAAGCTGGACATGGTAATGCACTCCTGCAATCCTAGCATTCTGGGAAACTGAGGCAGGAGGATAGCAAGTTTGAGCCAAACCTGGGCTGCTTAGAGATTTAATGAGACGTTGATTCAAATTTTTTTTTTAGAAAAAGGATTGGAAATGTAGATCCCCAGTACTGGAGGAAAGAAATGAAGTCAGTCTGACAGTGGATTAAAACAAAGAAAGCATGTGGGATGGGCTGTCATTTAGGGTCTGTTCTTAAGTAATTTGCCTTTTGATGCATTCTCCTGTTCTATTGAACTGTAACTATAATGTTTAAATTCTTGATAGTTCAGATCACGTGAATTATTTTTAAGCACCAGTCTTTCTAAAGAATTGGTGAATTCAAAATACCAAATGATATTTCAAAAAGCTCACTTTAATGATTGCCCTCTAGACATGCTTCTGTTTCTTTTGGTTTAAATTCCACAGGTGTTTCACCAAAACCAATGGCACTTTCAGCAGCAGTTCCCTTCCTCTAGTCCCAGTGGTAGCACCTTGTCCTCAGGATGGTTTGGAAATGAAGCCCCTCGGTGCTATGAAGATTCCTGTGTGTCTGGCTTCCACAGTCCCTGATTGTGGCCAGTTACCTGAGGAGAGGACCAAGGACAGTGTGGTACCAGTACCTACTCCACATACCTGCTGTCAGGATGACATAAATGACATCAACTCTGACTGTTCAGAAGATACCACAGAGTGCAGCAGAGGTACAGGGAGGTGATTTAAACCTTAAGGTTTTTGTAAATAGTCTTCGCTTAGCTGAGGACTCTATGAAGGAGAGTTTTCTATGATGCTGTCACATATTTCTTCAGAGACTGGGCAGGAGGTTGGATAGTTCAAGAAAAGATAGGACAGATAAAGGATTCTTTCTAATTCTGTTACTTACATCCATCATCTCAGGCAGTTAATCCCATTGCATTTTGGAAAATGTATCCCGCTAGGCTTGGATTCAGTGTGTGTCTGAGAAGAACACTTTTTGGGAGATTATGTTTTGTGTACATGGGCCCCTTTTTCATTTGAATTGGTTCTAAAGTTGTAACCTTTCTGTAAGTGGTTATTTTGGGGCTTATAAGGGGTCTGTTTTAATTCCAGATGGATTATATAACTATTCATGAGAGCTCAATTTTATTTTAAACCTTGTAGGTCTGTCTTGCTCAAATTCAAGCCAAACATAACCAGACTCTACTTTTACTCACTTTTCTTTCATTATTTCTCAAAGTAATATCTCTGGAGTGCTGTGTAAAAGTCAAGTTTTTTCATTTCATAATGTTCCCAAACCGTTGTGTTTTTCAGGAGACAGCCTTGGCCATTTAGAAATGGAGAACAGAAGTTTAAATTGGAATCCTCTTATTTTGCCACCTATCTCAGAGGACTGTTCTGGGAAGATGATAGTGTGGTCTCCTCCTGGCATTCCTTTAGACAGCTCGTCAGGGGTCCTTCAGCAGCCCCAGGAAACCTGAGGATGTGCAAACACTAGTTATTTTCCTACTTTAGCCAGTAGCTGCACAGAGCAGGCCTGGGAGTGAACTGTGTGAAGGACATTAATTCAAATCAGAGAAAATCATTATTTATTTTTTTGTAGTTACTTCATGTGAATGTATCTTAAAATGTGTGCCCTCTTATATTATTTATGCCTTAAAATTTCCCTTCCCTATTCCTTCTTTCTCCCTCAGTAGGAAACAACCTTGTTTTGCATGGTTTTCAATCATCTGGAGAAAAGAGGGATCATTCTATGTTTTTGAAGACCTTTAGTGACAGTAAGGATTCCTCTTGCCATGGATATGATCTGCTGTCTGACTCAGCCAGAAGGGAATTGCACAAGCTGTTTGAAGTCACATTCTCACATGGAAAATTGCCGTTCAATGTTGTGACCATTTTCAGATCAACAGTTGTGACTTAATACCTATAATAGCAGATCAGGATGATGGATTTTATGGGGATGCCTTCCACAAAAGTGCTAATGTGACCTGCTGACTTTTTGTCTGCACATGGGGATGAGCAGTGTCCAGGTCCTAATGATAACCAGAGTTGTTGGGGGAATGGAAGGTCTGGCTGGATTACTGCATTCTGCAGAAAGAGATCCAAGGCCAATGACAGAATTAATGTGTTAATATCTCACTACTTTAATACTGCATTAATTTATCAAATGGTCTTCATGGAGCTCCTTTTGATTTATCCTAAAAGTAGGAGCAAACAAAAATCTGCAAAGTAGTGGCTTGAAGAGAAGGGTACACATTTTAAGAAAAAAATGTAGGGCTTTAGGACCCGGTTTTGGCAGAAACTCTTCAGGCTGTTGTTCTGTAGGAACATGCTCACGGTGCCATACCACCTGAGAATAGTCCTTTACTCACTTCCAACATGGGAACCCACCTAGAAGATGTGAGTGGGTGCATGTGAGTCACTTGTACTTGAGAAAATTAACTTATAAAGAGAACAGGTATATTTTGGCTCACAGTTTTACAGATTTTAGTCCATGCTCAACTGGCCTTGTTAGTTAGGCCTATGACAAGCCAGTAGATAATGGTGAGAACACATGGTGAAGCAAAATGCTTATATCACAACTGAGGAGCAATGAGAGAAAGAGGTTAGGATCCCGCAGACCCCTTCAAGGCCATGTCCCCAGTGACCCAATGACCTCCCACTAATTCCTACCACCTCCCAAAGGTGCCACCTGGGGGCCAAGCTTTTAACCTTCAGGGGACATTCAAGATCCAAACTATAGCAGAGTGTCAGGAAAGACTTAATTTGGAGGAAAAGGGGTTTTAGAGGGAAATTTCCTGATTTTTTTTCTAAATGCAATAATTGTAAACAAGCACCTAAATCTTTGGTCAGCAGAGCTTATGCATCACAGCCACTGCTGCCTCTGAGTAATGACATTGCAGCTGCCTTTGGAAGACTTTTCTGCTCCGTGTTAAACAAAAACCCCAAAACTGTTAATGGATTTCATAGCATGAGTCACTGTTCCTTCTTGGATTGTGTGTCCCTTTGGGAAAGAAACAAAAAATATTCTCTTCAGGTAGAATTAAGTTCCAACATAAATAAATACATTTAGTTTCCCAAAACTTGCAGTGGAATAGAATAATAGAATACTATGTTAGTCAACTTTTCTGTATAATGCATCAGTACTCCCTTACATATGCCTGTAACTTTTATAAATCAAACTGTTAGTGAAAATGTGCTGTTCAGCTCAGTCACTATGCGAGAGTTACTTCCAGTAGAGTGTAGGGAATGTAAGGCCATCACCAGCTACAGTATTATGTTGCTGTAAAAGCAAGTTCTACGTTCCAGATGTCCATGCCTGCAGTGTACTAGGCTTATTCTTCATATTACTTAGATGTGCTGAGCTTTGGAGGGGGATGACTGCATCCCTTACTTCAGCCCCTTTGTGACCAGCAAGGGACAAAGTCCTGAACACAAAATATGAAAATACATTCTGTTTCCCAATCAAGTTACGGCATTGCTGTCACACAGGGACTTTTAGAAAACTAGGGAGTAAATGTCCACGGGCAGTCAGTTTGATTCATGAAACAGGTGTATTTGCATGAGCCTTAGGTCAGAAACTGCTTGTAAATGTTGAGTTTGAACATGGAATTTATCCATGAGGAAGAGAAAATGACTTTTACCTTTAGGGCAATCTCATCATGGACTGCTTTATTTATATTATTAGTAACGCTGTTTTAAGTGTTATTCTTTTTAATTGTACTTTATTTATAAAAATGCCTTTATATATTGAGATATATAAATATAAGTATATATATAATAGCCTTTATATTTAGGAGTTATCAGTTCTCCCTAGGCATGAGAAGATCTGAACTTTATGCCCTGCATGGTCACTAGAAACAATCCTACCTAATAGCACTTCCCCAGGAAGTAGGAGGACATTGGACAGTGTGGGGGACAGCACTAACAGATGTTGAGGAACCACTGTGTACCGGGCACTGTGCATGGCGCTTGTTTACTGTGATCTCATTTAATCCTCACAACAAATCTACAAAGTAAGTGTGAAAACTCCCAGTTCATACAATGAGCCACAGAGCTCGAGTTGGAACCCAGTTTATCTGGAGTCATCTGCGCCCCTTCTATTTTTCCATACTGCTTTCCAGAAGCCTCGAGCAAGGTTCCCTCTGATAGAACCATCCTGCTCTTGCTCTGCTGTTCCTCTGGGGCTCTGGCTCTGCAGCTGGCAAGAGAAGCTACCCTCTGTCCCACCTGGGCAGAGTGCTTTGCTCAGTACTTTAGTCTTCCAGGATGCACTGCTTTCCCCCCTTCATGCCCCTCCACCCCACCACCTACCAGAGAATTTGATCTTCACTCAGCTCAGTGATCATGAAATTGCCCGGGCCTCTTTGTGTTCCTTCTTGGCCTAGAATTCCATGTGATTCTTTGTCATCAAGCATTAAAATTCCCCCACTCCTTTTGTATCATTTCACCATCTCCCTTTGCTATTTTTCTTTCATTTATGCACTGATGGGCTGGTAACAGGTGCTATACCAGGTGCAAGTTAAATTGCAATGTTCTAAATCTTTTGAAGCAGGCTTTTCCGAAAGCATTGCTTGTTGGGTTTTGTTTTATAGAGTGAATGAGTCTCTGAAGACCAAGACCTTCATAGCAGGCCGATCATGTCATATATCTCATTCCAGCTACAGTACTGCCATGCAATTCTGTTTAGAATTGAACTTCACCTGTGTTGCTCTCTTTTAAAGCAGTGACTCAGATGCATGTTTTGTATCATACTAAAAAATGTTTTATTTTCCTTAAAGTTGTAATATTATGTTTGAAATTGTATATATTTTAAATGATATAGCTTGGACAGGTTTTATTTTATTGATAAGATTTTATATTAAAAGAGAATGCTGCTTTCCATATAGACTACCCTGTGAACATGGGAGTGCTCAGATACTTGGTTTGTACAGAATGGCCTTATGCTTTGGGATGGGAGTGGGTGTGATATCTTACTCTGAAGTTCTCCCCATGAAAATCTCCTGTGGATACCCAAGAACCTGGTGCATTATCTCTTCCATCCTGGCTGCAGCGATCGAGGCCCTGAAGGAGCAGGATCTTGGGCAAGTGCTTGATGAGACAGAAAATCCTGAGTCTATGCGTTGTGTGGAGGCAGAGGGAACCTTGCAGGGTAACAGTATTTCTTGGGAAGGAAGAAAGGAAGGCAGAAGAGAAGCAGGGCAAAGGGGAAGAGGCCCTCCTCACACACTTTTTACCGTGAACCCAGAGCCTCGTCTAGGAATATAAACTCGGGTAGAAATTTAAACACCTCAAAAGAAGCTTTGTTTTACTGCTCTAAAAGATGGAAGTTTCTAGGCTTCTCTGACCAGAAAGTCAAGAGAATCTTTTGTAGCCCTTCTGTATCTCATTTCCCATACTTAAATAAGCCTTCCTTAAACCCTAGCTCCAGTTCTTAGAGCTTTGAGGGAAGCCGAAACCCTTTTTTCTAATAAAGTCTAAATCTGTGAGAACCAAGGAAGCTGCTTAAATTTCCCTCAGTTTTCTGTCTCCTGTCAGGCGCCACTCTCCCTGTTGCTGGCAGATCATCCCTTGGCTCTCACTTTTCTCCTCATCTGCGTCCCCTGTGGAGGCAGCTCTGAGGGCTGACTCTCCTCATCAGTTGAACAAGCATTCATTTGTGTTTCAGCAAGATCTCTCTCTCTCTCACACACACACACACACACACACACACACACACACACACACACTTGGAGCCCATGAGTCATCCTGGCAACTAACTGATTTTGGAACAGCCCCTGTTCCCCACCAGCCAGCTCCCTCAGGCCCAGTGGCTGAGTGTTGCTTCCGGAATACCTCTGCTCTTGTGCTGGCCTGGCCTGGACTCCTGGTGTCTGACCACTGCCGGCTCCACGAAGTTCCTAAACTGCACATGAGTGGGGGAACACACAGCTACACACCTTTCTTCTATCCACTCAGTATGGGGCCTAGCAATCAGCCTCTTCTTGAGCTAGTTGCAACTGAAATAACCCACTGCTAGTGAGAGCATTAGGTGTGATTTATTTAGGAATTGCTCATTCCACAGATGTTTTTAATTTTTTTCTGGAAGTAGCTTGTTCATTTCTCTGTAGCACCAGAGTTGGTTCCCAGAGCCACCATTTTCACTTGCCTTCAGATACCCAGTGAGTCTTTACTCTAATTGTGTCTTCCTTGTCCTCTGACATCCCCATGCTAGGCCAGGACTTCTTGTGACCCTGTCACTTGGGGGTACTGCAGATGGGCCCTTGTATCTGTTATAGAGTCTGGGTATTAAGTGGAAGGGGTAGTTGGTGTCACAGCCACCTTGGTTTTAAGACTGAAGTGTGACCAAGGGGATATCTCCACCTCTCACCTGCCCTCCCTAAGCTGCTGTGCACCTTCCTCTTTGGCTTCATGGTGTTGCAGTCACTGTGATGGTGACATTTACTGGAGCATCAATGGATTCCAGTACAGGATCTGAACTTGGAGTGGTGGATGGTGTTTCACTGCCTACAAAAGGAATAGGTGGGCAAAGAATAGAGATGTCTTGGGGATGTCCTAGATTGTTCTCAGAGGACAAGACAGATCAAGCATTATGTACAAAATTCAGCACTGGTCTCTCAGTAGATAAATAATCTTTTAAGATAAAATCCTGCTTACTTGGTGGTGCCTCGGTACCTTCCTGTGAACCCCTCTGTTGGTGCCTTTGCTCCCTGAGGGTGAAGTGGGAGAGTAAAGTTAGTGGCAGCTGAACTTCTCCAGGCTTCCTTTTCTCATTAGATAAAAGTCTTGAACCCCAGGATGCCCGAGGTTCTACACTCACATGGGAACAAGCCACTGGCCAAGGCCTGCAGGAAGGAAAGAAGGAGCATTACTGCATTGACCAACATGAATCCCAGGGAATGGCCCTCCCTCCCCAATGGACTCATCCAGGCAGAGCTCAGGAACTCTAACAGGGATGGCCCCAGAAGCCCTGCAAAATGACATGTAGCTCTGGGGAGAGGGTCACAGTTCAGGAAGGCCCTAGATTCTCCTTAGGTAAGTCTAGATCTGGCTGCCTTAAGGAGTCAAGCAACCCCACCCTTCCAATTCCTACTCACGGGGGAAAAGCTGTGGGTGCCGGGCAGCATACCGGAACACGAGGAGAGAGGCCACCATCGCCACCACCATTCCTGTGCCAGCCGCGCCCAGCACTGCTGGGTAGGTGCTGAAGAGGGGCTCCACTGGGAGGCGAGAGCACAGGGTGCATGGTTTAGAGCCACAACTGAACTTGGGCTCCTGGGGCTTGATGAGGAGGCACTTCCCTGCTTGTCCAGTTCCCCCTTAGTTGATTTGGGGGACCTCATCCAAATCCCATTTCTATTGCAGAATGCAGAAAGCTACTTATTTTGGCAGCTTGGTGCTGAAAGGAAGCAGCACAAAGGAACTTCCAGGATGGAGAGGAAGCCCCAGGAAGCCTAGAGCACTTCTGTACCCCAGGAGGCGAGACTGAGGCACAGAGTGGGATTCCACTTCTTAAGTAAAAACCAGCACCCTGTTCCTTCTCCTCCCCTGTTCCGATTCTAGCTGAATCAGGGTTCTACCCCAGGTGGCGCCTCCTGAGCCACCAGGAAAGGATGGAGAAAAGCAGTAAAGATTGCCTGACACCCCTGAAGAGAGCGTAGAGAAGAGGACAGAGACCAGACTGAGGGAACCACCAGGAAGGAAGCAAAGGAATAGAGTGAGGATGCCCTGGGAAGAGAATGCACCAGGGTCCAGTCCTCTGGGAAGAATGGAATTCTCTCCCTGGCACTAAGCCCAGCACCTGGTGTCTTCACCTCGGAAGGATGTCCAGTAGTGTGGTGATTCAGGGCCAGGATTCGGAAGGCATAGAGGACCCCTGGGTCCAAGCCTCCCAGCCGTCGGCCCCTGCTCTCGGGCTCAATGTCACTAGCTGCAGTTTCCCAATCCCCAGCTCCTAGACCAGGGACACTGGCCCTCTGCTGCACCAGAAAGCCAGTCAGGTTGCCGGGGCCCTGGATGGCCCATTGCAGCTGCACCTCTCTCCGGTGCCGCTGGTAGGTCAGGCGGCTGATGGTGACATTGGGAGGAGCAGGATACCCTGGAGGGGAGAGAGGGTGGGAGGCACACATAAGGCACCTTGTCTGTATGACTGTGTGCTTGTGCACTCGGCTTTGCTCCCATAGAGAGACAGCCTGCAGTGTAGAAAAGCCATAGGTTCTTCATCTATAAAATGAAGAAAAAGAGATGATTCTGACTGCACGGAGTTCTGTGTGTCTGTTTTCAAGACTTCGCCAGCCTACCTGGGGTCATGCCATAGAGTCTGCCTGGGCCCAGGGGTGCTCAAGGGTGCACATTTGGAGCAGGGAATTCCTAGGCCTATCTGCAAAGTGCTCTATGGCTGTTGGTCTCCCACCCCCCTTGCCACACAAACACACCACCCCTCACTCACTGAGGACCTCCAGCAGCACGCTCTGGCTGCTGTTGCCCACGGCGTTGCGGGCCATGCATTGGTAGATGCCTCTGTGGCGTGCTGGGTCAGCATCTTGGATTTGGAGGCACAGCTGGGCACCCTCAGAGTGCAGCACAAACTCGGAAACGCTATGCTCCAGCTGCTGTCCCTGGGGTCCCAGCCAGAGGAGCTGGGCGGGTGGAATCCCACCCCAGAGAGTACATTCCAGCCAGGCCTCTCCCCCCTCCAGCACTGAGACCCGGGGCTCAGCCACTGTCAGCTGTGGAGTCTCTGTGGGGACAGGAAAGTTGAGGCTGGAGCAAGTGACTTTCCAAAGCTAGTGGAAAGGCTTAAGGGAAAGGTGCTGGCCAGTAGTGGAGGGGATGGAGAGCTGAAGAGGAGAGGAGGTGTGGAGCTGTGAAGCTTGTTCTCATCACCCTTCCCTCAGGTTCAGACTCCTTTCCATCCCAAGTTGGGTTACAGTCTGCTCCAGGGTTTACTGCTAACAGCAGGCTTCCTTTGTATTTCTCCCCTAGCCCACCCCAGCCCTTGCTCCTTCAGTCAGGAATCCTGCCTTGTGCCTCTCTGCAACACCCCCTCCTGCACTTTCTGCACCACCTGGCATGGGCCTTCTTCTCCCTGGTGGACCACCACCTCCTGGCTGGTTTCAGGCATAGTGCCAGGCTGTAGCAGGTGCTGGTTTTATGGACTGACTCTTATTAAAGACCCAGACTCTCAGGTGTCAATGAATTTCCTATGATGGAATTTCCAGTCTTGAGTCTGAGTAATAGGGAAAGAAATATTTTGGGTTAAAGACCTCCTTAGAGTCCCCCAAAATGTGCTAGTCACAAAGCCTTTGGAGACTAAGAGGTAAATCATTTTGCAAGAACTGTTGTATGTGACAGTTCTAATGTTTTTCTCACATTTTAAAAGATTTCAGTATGCAATTATTTTTCTCTTCAGTTGTTAATAGAGTAGCAAACCAGATGAAGACAGAGAGAGGAACCAGACTGTAAACAAATAAAGGGGGCTGAGAGATGTAGAGACAGACCTTTGACACTTGAAACACTAATGCAAGTCAAGAATATAATCAGGTATCTTCCTTATGCAAATATATGCAAATGAGGGATACTGGTAGCCTTCCCACCTCATGCAGATGCTGCTGTCCTACACTGTTGCCACAGGCCACACGTGACCAGTGAGCTCTTGCAGTGCAGCAAGTTGCACTGAGACGTGCAATAATTGTAAATGTGCTGGATTTTCAAGACAGGATAAAAAAAAGTAAAATAGCTCATGAATAGTTTTTTATTATTACATATTGAAATGGTAATATATTGGATATATTGAATGAAGTGGAATATTTCACCTGTTTCTTCTTACTTTTTAAAATGAGGCTGCTAGAAAAATTTAAATTACACATAACAGCTTGCATTGTATTTCTGTTGGACAACACTGACACAGACAGACGTCTTTCATTCTATGGATTGAAAAAAACCCAAAAACTTGAGACCTTGGAAGAGAAGTGAATCAGCCTCTCTCCTGACTCACTTTCCATTCCAGCACAGCTATAACCTCCAGAGCCCTCAGCCTGGTTCCAAAGGGGTGATACTCTTGCCCTGGCCCGAAACCCAGAGGCTGGCCCCTGCTCACCCAGCTGGACCCGGCACTGGACAGCAGGGGTCCTGAGTGGGTGAGAGCCCCAGCAGGTGAACTCTCTGCCAGCCAGCTCGCCCTGGGCCTGCAGCACGTGGATGGCTGGCGAAGAGCTGCTGCTGCCCAGGGGCTGCTGCTGCCCATCCTCGAACCAGCGCAGTGCAGCGGGGGGCACACCTCCAGGCCACTCACAGCTCAGCATGATGAACTGGTCACCCACCGTGACTGAGGTCCAGCAGGTGGGGCTCTGGGGAGGCTCCCCTGGAAAGAAGTTGTGGCTCAGATCAGCCCACCCATCCCTCCCTCCTTCACTTATTCCTTCATTTGCTTATTCCCTATGACTCTGTCACTTTTCTATTCACTCGTACATCCTTTATCAAGGGCTGACCATGTG